TGACCATGCAGTGTGACAGGCAAACTGGGTCTGCTATGATGCACTCTGGGCCGAAACCGATTTAGCTCAGTTGATAGAGTGTCAGCCTGCGGACTGAAAGGTCCTGGGTTCGATTCCGGTCAAGGGCATGTACATTGGTTGCAGGCACATCCCCAGTGGGGAGTGTGCAAGAGGCAGCTGGTCGATGTTTCTCTCTCATCAATGTTTCTAGCTCTCTATCCCTCTCCCTTCCTCTCTGTAGAAAAAAAAAATCAATAAAATATATTTAAATTAAAAAAAAATGGTTGCACTCTGGTCTAGAATCTCCTTATCGCATCTGGGTAGCCTTTATGAGTAGGGTGAGGAATTGCTCAGAGGCAATTCCAGCTAACATGTTTTTAAATATGTTTTCTTTCATTGATTTTTAGAAAGTGAAGAATAGAGAGGGAGAAGAGAAAGATTGGTTGCATCGCGCACAAACCCCTACAGGGGATAAAGCCTGCAACCTGGGGATGTGCCCTGACCAATGGTTGTTATAACAAACAGGTCCTTTAAGACTTGACTATAATGACTTCCTTTGCAAGAGCATGTCAAACAGTAAAATTGGGGTCCCCGTAGCATCAAGAACTGATCCACAAGGGATCTCCAAGATCACACCTGTCACGGCCAATCACGTGGAGGGAATGTGTGGATGCTCAGGGAGGACCCTGCCCTGGGGTCAGGGGCATGAGGTTGGAAGGATGGCTGGCTGCTGGCCACGGCTTTTTTTTTTTCATAAAATGAGCTCCTTTTCTGGTTGTTAAGGGACTAGTGTTAAACAGTGTGAGCATGATTTTTGGTAAGTGGCTGTCCCCTGCTCTATTTTTGCTAGAGAATGTGAGAGCTGTTCAATAATGTTTCAACAGAGGCTTTATGTTCGCACAATCTCTCAGAGGAGATGCCAGCCATGGGCAGAATTTGACCCAGATGGATTCTGGATCCCTTTGAAGTGTTATATCTTATGCTTCTAAATAGAGAAATTGGCCAATAGCTGGGTAATTCAAGCTCTCAAATCACCCACTGAAACATAGATTATTTTGTTTGAAACCTGGGACAGATTCTCCATTTTACTTTGGGTAGACAAAATTTAAATATCTGACCATTATTTTAAATGCAATTTTCCTTAAAGTCTAGTCCAACATTTTTTTTTTTTTTGCCACTTTAGCTAATTGTGTAACATTGAGAAGTCATTTCTCTGTCATTCCCCCCAGAGATGGGTTATTGCTTCTGGTTTGCTGTCTTGGTAGGGAGAGGGCATTGTATGGCTTCTAGTTAGCTCTTCCTACCATCATGGTGCTGACTGATGAAAGAAAGAGAGAATGTGGGGATTCTGAGAGTAACAAGTATATCTATTCCAAATAGTCACCCAAGACTTGAGGAAAGAACCACAGGTGGGTCGTTGCACCAACTGGCCCCTGAGGGTCAGGAATGAGCTAAGATTTCATCAACTGCCCCACCATTGGCCCCTACTTGGACATGTGGGCCCAGTCTAGCTGTGGTTGTCATAACAAACAGGCCAGATATTACCAATATTGTGTTGTTGTTGTTTTAATTTAAAATAATCTTTTTGGTTTTTTTTAAAGCAGTTTTAGGTTCACAGGAAAATTGAATGGATAGTGATTTTCTTTTTTTTAAAAAATTTATTTATTGATCAAGGTGTTACATATGTGTCCTTATTTCCCCATTACACACACCCCTATCCCTCCACTCATGCCCTCACCCCCCAGTTGTCGTGCCCATTGGTTAGACTTATATGCATGCATACAAATCCTTTGGTTGATCTCTCCCCATTACTTCCATCCTCCCTTACTTTCCCTCTGAGATTTGATGGTCTGATTGATATTTCTCTGTCTCTGGATCTGTTTTTGTTCATCAGTTTATGTTGTTCATTGTATTCCATAAATGAGTGAAATCATGTGATATTTATATTTCTCTGACTTGCTTCAGTTAGCATATTGTTCTCCACATCTATCCATGCTGTTGCAAATTGTAAGAACTCTCTTTTTTTACAGCAGCATAGTATCCCATTATATAGATACACCACTGTTTTTTAATCTACTCATCTGCTGGTGGGCACTTAGGCTGTTCCCATAGTTTTGCCTCTTCCAGAATGTCATGTATTTGAAATCATACAATATTGGCTTCTTTCAATATTGGCTTCTTTCAATCATACAAATTGGCTTCTTTCATGTAATTATATACTTTTAAGGTTCCTTCATATTTTTCATGTCTTGTTGGCTCATTTCTTTTTAGCACTGAATAATATTCAATTGTCTAGTTGAATAATTGTCAATTGTCCATAATTTATTCATTTGCCTACTGAAAGACATCTTGTTGCTTTAAAGTTTTGACAGTTATGAAGATAACTGATATTAACATTATATGCAGGTTGTGGACATAACCCCTTTGGGTAAATACCAAGGAGCATGACTGTGGGATTGTATGGCAAGAGTATGCTTAATTTTATAAGAAATTGCCAAACTGCCTTCCAAAATGGCTATCACCAAAATAGTTTTTAGTTTATAGATGAGGAAAAGGTTTAATGGAAGTTAATGAACTCATCTCAGATTGGACAATACTCGGGGATTTCTACCCTATGTATTTCTGCATCACTCCTTACACAGTGCTCAGCCTAAGCAGGAGCGTGTAGGCAGCCCAAAGGATGTGGCCTGAAGACACTGGACTGGTAAAACCTAGGGCCCTGGGTTTTTGGTCACAGTGACATGAAATCTTATTTCTCCCACAAACCTGCTTCACCTATAACTTTCTATTTCTCAGCTGTGGAGGACTCTGTCCTTGTAATTGTCAGGCTAAAATCCCTGGAGTCAGCCCGAACTTCTTTTCTTTTATCTCATAGCCTATTATATCCATCTCTCAAAAATCCTGAAAATTCCATTTTCAAAATGTATCCAGAATCTGAACACATCTAAACATCTTCATACCATCTATAATAATTCAAGCAATTATTTGATAAAAAGTTAATTTTATCACTGTTTTATTCTGATGGAGTGAAAAGAACTGAATCTTCCAATTAAAAAATATTTTTCTTGATTTCAGAGAGGAAGGGAGAGGGAGAGCGATACAGAAACATCAATGGTGAGAGCGAATAATTGATTGGCTGTCTCCTGCATACCCCCTACTGGGGATCAAGCCCAAAACCCTGGCATGTGCTCCGACCAGGAATCGAACAGTGTCCTCAACCACTTTGAAGCAACAAGATGTCCTTCAGTAGGCAAATGAATAAATTATGGCTGCCCCACTTTTGATTTTATACATGTAATGTTTGAAAGAATTTTACACAGATTAGCTTCTGGATCATACATTTAAAACCTTGTTTCTCCTTTATTATCCACATACCGTTTCCCCGAAACTAAGAGTGTCTTATATTAATTTTTTCTCCCAAAGTTGTGCTAGGTCTTATTTTCAGGGGATGTCTTATTTTTCCATGCGCTAGGTCTTATTTTTGGAGGATGTCTTATTTTTGGGAAAACACGGTACTTCTAAGGCCAAGTGCTATAGGGTACCCTCATATCAGGAAACCACATCTCTATGCAACTTCCTGCTGGAATATCAAGTGAGTTGGCACAGTGGGCAGCAGGATTCTTAGAAGCCATTCCTACACAAGGGTGTCAGGAAATGATCATGAACCACATATGTGGTCCAATAGACACAAACTAAATGTATCTCTAACTCAAAATGCTCTTTGTCCCTCCAACATGAGGGAAACTATAATGGAGGGGAAATTGGAATACAAAGAAACAAGACTCAATCAATTCAAATATCTTGCTTTGAAAGTTGTACAAAATCATATGACCATTTTTCTTCAAGTCTTTGGAATGAGCCTTTGCAAGTGAAGTGTCTCAAAACTCATGTTTCATTAGCTTCATGGTAAGTCAGCTTCTGGACTATTTTAAATTGCAACCTGCCTTCTTCCCCTAGAGCTTCTTATTCCTCCTACTTTCTTTTTCCTATATCCTGTAGCTACTGTATAATGTGCTTATGTCTTCCCCTGCTAGAATGTAAGCCTAATGAGGGCAAGGATCTTTGCTTGTTTTGTTCACTTATGTCTTTCAGGTGTCTAAAATAGGATCATGTGCAAATAAGTGCTCCAAAAATATTTGTGCATACATGCATGCAATAAATAATGCATAAATGAATGAGAGAATGAACTAAACAGAATCTAGGGTCAGGTCTGTAGTAATCCAGGATTTACAAATTTGAAAATTTGAATTTTATTCCAAACTCTGCCACTTAACTTTGGGCTCTGTTTCCTCGTGTATTAAATTAATTGGTTATTTATTAATTCAATTAATATCCTTTGGGACACAGCTAAGATTAAGAGGATACATCTTTGTATCCTCCTGCTCCCTTACATTCAAATCCTACCGCCCTTGCAGAGCATGAAACTCAAAGGCTTCAAAAGTCCCGCCTCTCCAAAGCCCCGCCCACCCACAGGTCCATCTTTAGGCTCCTCCCCGAGCCATCACAGCCCGCGGCGAGTGTAGAAGCCCCGCCTTCCTCATGCAGTCATCCAATGGCCGCGATACACGGCTAGGTTAATGGAGGGAGTTTTAGGTGTCCTCTTGGCGCCTGACCAGAGTCTTGGGGAATTCCGTTCCTCTTGAGAAGTCACTTCCCCGAGTTATCCCTACGAAATGCAGGCTCAGCCATTCCCCAGGTTCCCTCAGAAGGGTGGGACAAGGCTCCTGAGCCCCGCCGCTGCCCTACCTACGAGCCCTGGGTCTTCACTGGACGAGGCTCTCGCCCCGCAGAATTCTGGAAGTGGTAGTTTTCTTCCCCCGATTCCTTCTCGGTACACTGGAGGCCAAGACTCGCGGGACTACGATTCCCAGACTCGTGAGCGAATGCTGGTCACGTGGCCAGCAAGGACGCAGGGCTGGTGGGCGGGGGCCCGGCGGGTGCTCCACAGCTGTCAGGCGCTCCACGAGCCCGCGGGGCCCCCTTGGCCCGGAGACCCCAGCATGGTGCGCGCGGGCGTCGTGGGGACGCAGCTCCCCACGTCCAGCTTGGACATCTTCGGGGACTTGAGAAAGATGAACAAGCGCCAGGTAAGAGGCCCGCGTGGGGGGCGCGCCCTGGGAGTCAGGGCATCCTGGGCTTGGCTACAGCAAGGACAGCGCCGCAGCTCCCGCGCCGGGTTCTCCTTGGCCCTGGGTTCAAATCCGCACCGACCCACCTGTGGGCACGTGTGTGGATGCTTTCTTGCACTTCAAGAGTCCAGTTAGGGGAAGGTGGTCAGGAAGGGTAAGAAAGTGTAAATCTAGTCCCATGGATGTCAGATGTGGCTGAGAAAGCGGGGAGGGTTGACTTGCGGTGAGTGACAGCTGTGTGCACGTATTTAAAAGGCCATCGGGTGGAAGCGGAACGCAAGACGCCCAGAGGAATGCTGCCCGCCGATGGAAGGGGCAGAAAGGCAGGCGAAAGGAAATAACTTTGTGACCGTGGGAACTGTACAGTAGTGCCTCCCATGCTGGGCAGTGTTCTCCCAGCCATGCACCGGGACTGAATACAGCTCCTTGTGCTCAGAGAGCGCCGTGGTGGTGCTCAATCACTGGGGACTGAATCGGTGTTCGGAAGAGATTCGAGAAGTCCCTAACTCCCTTCTAACTTGCAAAATTATACTTATAAATAAGGCTTAACTTATTTCTCAGATTCTCTGGTCTGGCTGCACCTCGAATATAGGAGGCAGTTAGCATGTGGTCTTTGGGCAGCTGGAGTTGATTTCTCACTCTTCGCTGTCCTCAGGGGAAAACGTCCTTCTTACTCTGTCCCTAGTTAGCCCTAGATCACTGTCTTTGGTCTTTCTCTTCAACATAAACCAAGAGGAGTAGGGACTGGAAATGAGGCTCTTTCCTCCAGGAAAAATGAGATTGCTTAAACTTCTAGAGCTTGGGATCTGTAGGGCACAAATACCACGGATGGATATTAATACCATGATGGTTATGAATTAATTTTATTGATACTAATAATAAAGTGTGCTAAGAAAAATGGAACCTTCCTACTGGGAAGTTTCGATTATCTTTGAAGATGGTGCCAATTCTCATGATTTTGATGGCATCCTGTTTCAATTGTCCTATTATATCGAGGAGTGAGGCGGTGCCCATGGCAGGGCACAACTTATTCCTTTAGGCATGTGGTTTAGTTCCCTCCCCACCACACCTGACCCCCAAGTACAATTTCAGACAGACGCAGTGATGTGTGAGAGTTTGGTGACTTGAACCTCATAAACTGTGTTTAAGAGTGTGGTTGTTTCTAGGTATGCATAGCTGATAAGCTCCTGGGAGTGTCTGTGATTAAGATGAGTTGTGGCAGTGAAGATCACGAGCTTGAGAAACCAACAGCTATTGTCCTGAGCATTGATACTGCTCTCAAGACTTATTTAAAAATCTAGACTTAATTGGCTAGGTTTCTAAAATGTCTTTAAAATGGTATGATTTCAGATGATAATGGCCTTCTATCAGAGAAGGCCTTGAATGTATCAACCCCTAAGCCATTCTGAAGGATCAGTATATTCCCAAGCTCAGTGATAAGAACTATTGGTATCTGTTGCATTGCCTATGTTTGCTAATCTTTTAATTAATATTAAGCTCAAATCTGCTGTCTCTTGGTATTATTTTTTAAAGCTTTGTCCTTTTACTTCTTTCTTTTTCCCTCCAAAATAGTAAGCTGTGAAACCTTGTCAGGCATGCATGCTCCACCAGTCCTGGAAGAGGGACCTCCTTTCTCTGCTGCCCCTGCTCATGCTTAATTAAGGCAAGAGCCACATGCAAAAAAAAAAAAAAAAAAAAAAAAAAAAAGGACTCTTTGTTTCTGCAGTGAGGAAGAGAGGAAGAAATACAGCTACTGGCATTTCTGCTGCTCTGTCAGCCAGAATTTCTAGTTTCAACTGTTTGTTGAGAACCCTCAGACATTGGCTGTTTTATCATTGGTTGACAAAGACCGAGTGTGGACTTGCTTCTAAACTCGGCTGGGCTATTAGGTGCCAAGTATACAAAGTTAGTAGGCAGAGATGATCAACAAGGTTATCTTGTTGTTCAAGTCAGTTTGTCATTGCTCAATCAAAATTATGTTTTTGGATTTCAATCCTGGACTCCTTCAAGACAGGGTGTTGGAAGTGGGATCTGTGCTTTTGCAATTAGCTTGATTCAGTTTTTATGTAATTGCCCCTTTCTTTAGCAAATAGATATCCTGCTCAAAGGAAGTTTTTTGAATAATTGATTTCACTTCCCCTTGATGAATATTTCAAGCATAGGAAATCACACTGGAAAGTGTATTCTTAGTACCCAGCCCTTGTTAGGTAAATCACAAGGTTTTGTAGTGTGCTCTCTTCAAGGTGAAGCCTGGTGGTTTGAAAACCTCTCTGAAAATGACAATCTCTGTTTAAAACCCTGACTTGAGGTTTTCCTAATCAGATCTGTAATTCATAACGAAACGATGTTTGTTTATCAAGTCCTTCCATTCAGACAGAGCAGGTGAAGAAGTTTTTGGTGAACTGTCGTGAGGAGCTTCTGCTTTAGACGGATGTGAGGAGACCAGTTGTGAGGAGACCAGTAGCACTTTGGTAGCAGCACTTTGCCCAATACTTCAACAGTATTGGCTTACCACTCCAGGTTCCTTTTCTGCTCTCCTGGGAATTTAAGGATCGTTTCATAATTTGATGTTGACACAATAGCCAAAGAGTTTTTGTTTTTTTTAAGGTGTGTAACTTTAATTTTGAGTTACATTCATTTTCCTGTTTTTATTTATTACATCAAAATATATTCAGTTATTTTAATTCACTTTTTATGTCCCCACTTTCAGTCATATGCTTCCTAAATACCTTGAATTACATAAGTTCACAAAGGTGTAATATTAGCAAGAGACAGGTTTGAGCTCTGTATCACATCATAATATGTTTTCATGTTTGTCACACTCTTTAAAAATGATTATTTAAATAGCAGTTAATATCCTGTCAGTTGCACTTTCTTTAAGCCCCCCCACCCCATTTTGGAATTAATCCATGCCCATCCTAGGAATTTTAAAGCATAGAGAATAGTTGAAAGGAGAAAATGGAATCCTTTATCATTTCAACTGTGCTACAGTAACCTCTGTTAGTATCTTGGGAGCATCTCCCTGTGTGCATTTTCTAAACTGTGTTATAGTTTGTGGTGATCTTCCTACAGCCTACATTTTTCACTTAACATATCTTTTTTTAAATATATTTTTTTATTTATTTCAGAGAGGAAGGGAGAGGGAGAGATAGAAATATCAATGATGAGAATCATTGATCAGTTGCCTCCTGCATGCCCCCGACTGGGGATCCAACCTTCAACATGGGCATGTGTCCTGACCAGGAATCAAACTGTGACCTCCAGGTTCATGGGCTGATGCTCAATTACTGAGCCATACCAACTGGGCCACTTAATATATATTAAATATTTTCATGTCACTGAATTTTTTTTGCATTGTCTTATTTTTTTGCATTTTTTAAATAGTGCAGTAACTTGCCATTATTTATACAATCATTTCTCTATTATTGCTCATTTATTTCCTTTTCCCTGTTGTTAGAAATAAGACTATCCTGTGTCATAGCCCCTTATCTGCCTTTATCTTAGACTGCATTCTGAGAAGTAGAACTACTGGGCCAAAGGTAATAACCTCTTGATACTAAATTGCTTTCTGGATGGTTATGTCATCTTGCATCCCAAATGCACCTTTGCCAAGAACTGATTATTAGTATTAAATTTGCTAGGCAAAAAAAGGGGGGGCTGGGAGGGTGAAGGCAGGATTTGGTTTAAGCATTTTAAATGTTTATTTACTACTTGCAGTTCTTCTCTGGACAATTAATAGTTTTAAGCTTTTACTTCTTTTTTTGTTCTAAGACAGGAAAGGAAACAAGATCAGTTAAAAAGTAGAAACCAGAAAACAGATGAAAGAGTGCTGACAGCTAGAAAAAGGCAAAATCCTAAGCCAGCAGTGGGGGAAACTGAGAAAAAACTTCAGTTTGTGCTGCAGAATCCTCACACGAATTGGCAGTTCCCATGTCTCTGGAAGTGGGGGTGAAGGGGAAGTGGGGGTGAAAGAGCTGAGAACCGATCCCCAGCTGTCCCCCCAGACCCGCAGAGGGTTTCCTCTCCCTGGTGGGGGTCTGGAAGTTTATTCTTGGGAGGGTTCTGGAGTACGGCTTCCAGGCCTGGTGGAGGAGGTGCTTACTGGGCTCGGAGGGACCCCATGCTGGTGATGAAGACAGTGAAGGATGGAGGTCCGAGAGGAACAGAGCCATGTTGGTGAGCACAAAGGCCAGAAGGCAGGCACATGCGATCAGATAGAGTGTTAGAGTCATGAGATCAAGCAGGTACAGTCCCAGGTGTGTGGCTGAGAGTGGATGGCCCAGGTAGCGGGAGAAGGTTGTTGGAGACGAGGAGGAACTGAGACACCGGAATGTTGGGTGGGCCAGCCACAGGGCTCTGCAGATCACCCCGGGCAGCCACAGGGATTGAGGCAGGTACCCCAGTAAGGAGCCGTCCAGAGGACAGTGGGGCAAGTGCCCAGGGCTTACATTTCTAATAGACTAGGCACAGTGGCTTTTGTCCCCAGAGCCTCTTGGAGGACGGTGGGCATCTGGACCAACAGTGCAGCCACAGCTACTCAGGGATATGTGCTGTGGGCAGGTGCTGCATTTTCCCTCAGTTCCCCAGGACTTGGTGAGTGGCAGGCATTGGCCAGCCAGGAGGAGCCTTGTGCTTCAGCATGCAAGGGACAGGGAGGGATGAAGTCAAGCCCTGTGGATCTTAACTCAGTGGTCTCAGGTGGGGCAGTCAGCACAGAATGATGTTAACTCATGTGAAAACCTGAGCATCCAGCTGTTTAAACTTTTTGTTGACTTTTAACATGTCTTTCAGATAACAAAGAGAGTCGTTGCTAAGTACTGTAGGCTTCGGGGCCTCTTCAGCCAGGGGACTGAGGAGTGGCTCTGGGTGATCTGCGCAGAGTGTGCCAGGGGCTCAGGTCAGGCCTGTGTGCTTGCACTACAGCCCTCCCAGCAGTTGGAGTGGCGGGGTCCTCACAGATGGAAGGTGCCGGGAAACCCCGGAGAAGTGCAGTCTTAGTGAGGCTTTAACAAAGCAGGTCCCATGGAATGCTCTGGCTTCCCTCTCCCTTTTCTCTCGTTGAAGTAGAAACATATATGGGAGGCTCATTCCATGGACAGATGTGGGATTTTACAGAAACACACATGCAGCTCAGGGTTAGCACGTTCCGCCTTTGGTTTTAACGCTGGGTCGGCCTTTCTTGTTCCAGTTGTATTACCAGGTCTTGAACTTCGCCATGATCGTGTCTTCTGCACTCATGATCTGGAAGGGCTTGATCGTCCTCACTGGCAGCGAGAGCCCCATCGTGGTGGTGCTGAGGTAGGTCCCACGAGCTGTACATGCTGCCCGGACCCAGAGGCAGGGTCACCTTGCGGGCAAGCCTGCATGACAGCCCAGAGTCAGTACTGTGATTGGACAGAGTCTTCTTTATTGATACCTGTTTGAGACTATTTTATTTTTTCTGGCTTTTGTTGGAAATCTTGTTTTTTCCAACAGACATGTTAGTGTTTTTACATGGTGATGCTGATGCTCCTGGGCAGAACATTCACGTTTGCATTTTAATGTTTTAATCCACTAAAAGGACAGTGTAACAAATGGTATTAATGCATTATTTATGTACAGATTGATTTTTAAATAGGTGATTTAAAACTGTTACTTGATTGTAGCAAACAGGCATCCTTGTGCCTAGCAGAGTATTGAGTATGTTTTTGTTGTTGTTGTTGTTGTTGTTAATCCTCACCTGAGGATATTTTTCCATTGCTCTTTTAGAGAGAGTGGAAGAGAGAGGGAAAGTCAGAGAGAAATACACTGATTGGTTGCCTTCTCCTGCACGTGTCCCGACTAGGGCCTGGGCTGGGGAGGAGCCTGCAACCGAGGTATGTGCCCTTGACCAGAATTGAACCAGGGACCCTTTGGTCCGCAGGCTGAGTCTCTATCCTCTGAGCCAGACTGGCTAGGGCTTGAGTATGTTTTTAAGCTTCCCCTGCAGTATTGGGTAGGTGGCTACTCTCTTCTCAGACTATCACTCTTATACAACACAGCCTATTTATTTTAGAAGAGTTGATACTTTAATGTTATGTAGCCACAAAGTCATCCAAAGGGAAAAACTTAGCAATCAGTTTGAAATTGAAAAGCCATGTTTGGGAGCTCTTAGCTGCTTCAAGATGCTCTCTGTACATGTGTCTTAGATCCTGAAGTTTACATGGGGGGGAATGGAGGCCCTTAGGAGGGAATGGGGCCCAAGCTCATGGATTTCAGACCCTCAGGCTTGCTTCAGTCATGACAGCTTCTCTTTATGTATCATATGTTAAACTTCCTGGGAAGATTTCATTGCAAGAATGGATTTAATGGCTTTAAAAAAAAAAAAAGAAATTAAAAACTTCGAATATATTTTATTTTTTAATTTCTATTTTTTTAAATTATTGGGGTGACATTGGCTAATAAAATTATATAAGTCTCAGGAGTATAATCCTATATGACATCATTGGGTATTCACCACCCTACGTCAAGTCTCCTTCCATCACCATTTATTTTCCCTTTATCCTTCAATGCCAGTCTCTTTACTCTCTCTTACCTCTCCCCACCCCTCTTCCCTCCGGTAATCATCAAACTGTTATGTCTATGAGTTGTTTTTTTGTTTTGTTTGTTTAATCCTTTCACCTTTTTCATCCAGCCCCAGCCCCCTCCCCACTCACTGCTAACAGTCTGTTCTCTGTATCTATGAGTCTGTTTCTGTTTTGCTTGTTAGTTTTTGTTCATTAGATTTCCCATATAAGTGAAATCATATGGTACTTGTCTTTCTCTGACTAAAAATCTCAAATTCTGATAGGCCCTCTCATGGAACAGATAGGGAACTTGAGGCCCAGCGACGCCTGGGCACTGCATCTCATAGTCACTTTGGCAGAGAGACGACTAGAACTGAGATGTTCTGCTTCTTCTTAAATCTCACACACACACACACACACACACACACACACACACACACACAGACACACACAAACTTGTATTCAGAAATTGTGAAATTGCAGTGTGTAGAGACTTTTTAATAAATCATTCTTTACAGTTCTAAAGCAATTTGGTTTGTCACCATAAACTATTGACATCATGAGAGGTGTGTGACCTTGGGGAACACTGACCTCGGGGGAATGCCTGACCCCTGAGGAAAGCAAGTGTAAGTTGATGTTAGTAAAACATTTCAAAGAACTGGTTTCCCCATGGGACACAACAGTGGCTCTGGATGCCAGACTCCAGTGCACTCACCTGCCTCTGAGACTCATCCATGAGCTGTCTTTCTAGCTGCAATTCCTAGTTGTTACTAGAGACCAAGGTGACTTTCTAAAAACATCTTCCCATTGTGTGTCTTCAGCAGTTTTGCTGAAAGAGGAGAGATGAAGCAGTCGATGAAGAAATTATCTTAAACATTTTTGTCATATTCTTTCAAAGGAGACAAAGCCTTGAACCAATTATGTTTTATTTTATTCTTTTTTTTAATATATATATTTTTATTGAGTTTTTACAGAGAGGAAGAGAGAGGGATAGAAAGCTAGAAACATTGTTGAGAAAGAAACTTGGATCAGCTGCCTCTTGCACACCCGCTATGAGGATGTGCCCGCAACCAAGGTACATGCCCTTGACCGGAATCGAACCTGGGACCTTTCAGTCCGCAGGCTGATGCTCTATTCACTGAGCCAAATCAGTTTCGACTATGTTTTATTTTCAGAAGAAGACAAAATAAACTTCCAAGTTGGGAGATTAAAAAACAACACCACCACCACAAATTTGTTTTAACTCATTTCTAACCCTTTTTACCTTTTTTTTGTCAGATCTCCTATTTTTGAGTGCTAGGTCTGAGTATCACATCAGCAGGGGCTTAGTGCCAGGCCAGTCTCCACCGCGCTTCTCCTTGCTGTGTTCTGTGGGTGCTGGCAAGTGGAAGGTGTGCTGGGCTGGGAGGGTGGGGAGCCAACTTCTCAAGCTGCTTCCATTGTGACTCCACATTTTCCTTTAAAGCTCCTTATTTCTTCACTAATGTGGTTCATTTTCCTTCCAGCCTTCAGTCAGCATTGCTTGTAGGACAAAGGTCTAGCCATATGCCTAAGTCTTATTTAGTCTCTAATGCATTAAACAAAACATGAGCATATGTAAAATTAATTATATTTTGATAATTTCTATTTTCACTAGATGACAATTGACTTGAATCCAGTGGAGATTTTTGGCATGGGTTTAAACTGGTTCCATGTGGGATTATTTATTGACCTTCACATCAAAATCATTGGTTAGAATTGGGCTTTCTCTAGAATATGGTCAAAAGGATGGCATTGCAGGAGCCAAAAGCCTCAGGTTTGAATTTTGTTCTCACCCTCAGTTTGGCTGGCAGATAGCTCATCTTCCTAAGTGCATTCATTTAATTGTTTCTCGTTCCTTGAACAAGTACGTCGTGTCCTTGGTGCTGGGGATACACCATGAAATGGAAGAACTGTTCTCGAGTGTTAACCAGCTAACAGTCTGTAATTCTGAATGAAAATAGTAATGTGTTTATAGATGTGGATTTTTTTTAAGGCTAAACATTGGCCCTTCTCAGACTTAAGTCTAAGAAGAAATCATCTCCTTTTCACTTAATGTTATCACCTTGCACAGTCAGAAGGAAATACTACGGCTTGTTTCATAGCTCATAGACCTACTGGACTATGGATGAAAGGTGATACTGGAACTCATGTGTTTATTATTATATTTATTGTGAATTGAAATGTTCACCTGTGACCCAAGGGTGATTTGGATGTGCTTTTGTGTTTCTTTCTAGTGGCAGCATGGAGCCAGCCTTTCACAGGGGTGACCTTCTGTTCCTGACAAACTTCCGGGAAGACCCTATTAGAGCTGGTGAAATCGTGGTTTTTAAGGTCGAAGGACGAGACATTCCAATAGTTCACAGAGTAATCAAAGTTCATGAAAAGTAAAGAGGCTTTTCTTAAAGCTTTTTGGTGTTTTGTAAAAATTTGGTAGACTATGTTAATGGTTGATTAAAAAGTGCAAAAGCACTGAATTGTGTTCCTAGTTCTGCCATTTACTAGTTGGGTGACTTTGGTCCTGCTACATAATTCAATCTGTAAGATAGGAAAAATATACTTGACCCACAGTAACTCACAGGGTGCTTAAGAGAACTGTGGAACTGACATTCATCAAAGACCTTGAACGTAGTGAGATGGAATATATGGCGGCATAATATTAATTATTTGAAGGATTCCCAAAGAAAATCAAATTCCATTATAATTGAGGATTATTTTTATATAAGAATTCATTTCTGAAATATAGAAAGCTGCCTATTTTCCATTTTATGTCACTTTGAACTAAGTGGCATTCTCAATAGTAATATTATCCTAGGATGAATAACAATTTTTCCCCCCAACTCATCCCATGATTCTATTCTTGCATATCCTGCATTAATTCTAGCCTCATTCCTCAAAATGGCCTTTCCTTTCCTTTAAATGCCAGTAATTACTTATTAAGACACCTTGAAAACCAAAAATAATGTCTTCTAGCTCAAATATATTAAGTTTCCATGAGGTACTACAGTCACATAATTTGCGAAAATGTTACATTTTATATGCTTGTTTATTCACTTACTCTATATAGGCTTAGTGTGACATTTTTACCTGCATGAGTTATGGAATTAAATTTAGGTTTGTATATTTGTGTTTTGATGGCACATTACTCATCCAAGGTGTATGTGTGTGTACCTTAACTATTTGTACATTTCTGGTATTTAGAGTCCCATTCCATTCACTGCTTCCAGGTTCCCCAAACAGGTTGATACTTAAAAATATTCACTTCATTTTACTCTAAACATTAGAATGACTCCGTTCCAAGTCTGTGTTAATATACAAATGTTATTTGACATCTACTTGTTAACTTACTGTTGAGGAAATACGCTCAGTCATAACGTGACAGTATTCTCATCAGATTTAAAATAAGATGAGAAACTGTTCAAAATGGAGGAAATAACGGTGACTTGCGGTAATTTGAGTGACTTGTGAGAGAACACCCTGATTTTTATCCTCTTGATTTCCTTTATGACCATGGCTGCAAATCAGCTTGCTCCTTTTGGTGTGGTTTCAAGTCTTTGTGGGCTTTTAAGCTTTTAATAATAGTGCATTTTTTCACTTGCCCATTGAAAGAAGACTCTTTATAGCTCTACAATGCTGTAATATTGTGTTTCAAGTGTCAAGGCACTGTGAGCAGCAGTTTAGATGTTTAAAATGAATCCCATGTGTCTCTTTAATGCTGGTTTTGTGCCATTTGTGATTCCTGTTTCTTTGCAAACTGGATTTTACACCACTCTGCTCAGTGGTGAAGGAATGAATGCATTAATACATTCTGCAGCTGGCAAGGAAAAGGAAGTAAAGGTAAAGGAACTCTTGCATTTGACTTCGTTTGTGCTCAGATCTGTACTCAGATCAGGTTCATGTCTAGAGGGAAGAATACAATCCACGTGAAAGCACATCACTGCCTTACTGGTGCTCTTGTGTTTTGCAGTTGTCAGGGTAACTTGAGTGTTTTAGAATTAAGTCTATAAAATTGTCATTAGATTTGTGCTTTCATTGAATGGTTATCTGTAAGCAATCATCTTAGACCAAGAAAGATCAGGTTATCTTGGACTGCTTTCTAAATGCCTATATCTGGCTGTAAAGTGTTGGATAAACTAATTTTTGCTAATGCTGCTGTGCTGGAAATAATTTTTGAAAGGACATTGTTTTGCTTTCCAGAGATAATGGAGACATCAAATTTCTGACTAAAGGAGATAATAATGAAGTTGATGACAGAGGCTTATACAAAGAAGGCCAGAACTGGCTGGAAAAGAAGGATGTGGTGGGAAGAGCCAGAGGGTGAGGATTACCTTTTAAGTTGTATAGAAGATTCGGAAACCAGAGGAGCTAACTGTCTTGAGATAATAGGATCATTCATTGTAAGTAGTACATGTGAAGAGAGCTGTCAGAGTTCTGGTTTGTATTGTGATAATGAAATAAAACTCAGGACTGACCCAGGACTTAACATCAAAGCTGAGTGCAAGTGTGTTATCTATGTCATGGGTTTGATTCTGTTTTGAAATAATTCCTCACCTAGAGAGTAGTTATTCGTCGGTCTTAAATAACAGTGACAAGAGATTCGCTCAGAGATAACCACTGTTTAACACTTGGTGAATATTCTAGAGACTTCCTGTCCCTGTGCAGATGTGTATGCATATGTAATATATAATTTTGCATAGAAGAGTTTAATTTATTTTTAACCCAACAGGAAGTTGGAACTAGCTTTCAGTGTCAAATCTACATCTTTTTAAATGGCTACAGAATCACCACTTATTTAACTAATCCTCTGTTGGTGGATATTCAGGTGATTTCCTGTTTTCACTATTAAAAACAGTTATGTGATAAATCTTTTAATAGTCATCTTGGAATAATTGTTTCAGCAGTGAGAGTTCTGCTTCTCATTGGCCGTAGACAGTGTATCCTCTTATTAGGGGGGGAAAGAGGAGGGGGCGACCTCCTGTCTTTTGGTGACCCTTTTATGTTAACCCTTATTAGAAATGTCTTTTTAAAATCCTACCTAAATTCCACCAGCTGGGTGAGGCTGGAGAACACTGGTTTCCATTTTCTAAGATTCAGCTTTATTCATCAAATTGTAGTGTAAAGCCTCTTTCTACCCCCTTTCTCTCTCTGCTCACCTTTCAACCATTTTTACTCTGTTGCATCTCCACATGTATGTCTGCAGGAGATGAGAGAGACTTCCAGTTGGTCAGTCTTGTATTTTTAGAAACTGGTATAGGTTTTGTATAAGTAGGAGCTCCAAGCCACCGATTGAAAGGGACTGGAGGGGACTAAGGGTGTATTGCTTGTTCCCATTAATGGCATTAATTTTGTCAGCGTGATCGTTGGCCAGCCTGTGCTCCCAGCCTTCTCTCTCCAGGATCATAGATCATAGTGATGAGAGACATAGAAGTTCGTGTTCACTGCCCAGTACACTTGTTTGTTCCATCTGAAAAGCACTGTGGAATGAAAACGATGACGATTCTGGATGTAGAATTACCCATGTACTTTAAACGATTTCTCTAACAGCAGTTCTTAGAGTGGGATCTGAATCTCACTGTGGCACTAAAGGATGAAAATGAGGCTAATGAAAGTTGCCCATTCCATTTGTACAAGTGGCTCGGCTATTTATTTTAATTATGTTGTGGTGAATGCTGCCAGTGGAGACGAGTAGCATCTCCAGCCAAAATCCAGAGCCTGGTTAAAAATTGTCCTGGCTGTCCGCTTTGGTGCTTTTTACTGAGAAAGCCTTTGAGGCAGGAGAGACCATTGCTCTGACAGCCCCAATCATGCCATTCCCAAGTAGGACTTGTGTCCTAAAGCTGCTTTATGATGTTTTCAAAGGTTACTTTCATATTACGAACAATTTTGATATCTCTGACCTTTTATCTCACAATTTAGGTTCTTACCATATGTTGGTATGGTCACCATAATAATGAATGACTATCCAAAATTTAAGGTAGGACTTTATATGCATGTCTGTATTTTTTTAATGGATTTTTTACATGTGCAGCTGTAAAGATTCAGTTTGTTTAAAATGTTTTGCTAGTTATGTTTTCTACAGAGTATTTGTTGTTAACTGCAAAGGAACATAATCATTTCAATTATAGATTTAAAATAGCTACTTTTATTTCTTATGTTCATAATGTGTTCTAATATGGCACCTATATGTTTGTTGCTTTTTATTATGGAAATGCTTAAAGAAACAAAGAAGTACAATAAACTCAGTAATGCTAATTTCCCAGCATCAGTGAAAATGGTATCTGTATTTTTTTTAAAAACGCTTGAAGAACAATAGGAAACTTACGTGGGATGAGCAGTGCATTAGCTGTGTGTGCTGGGGTTTGGGCCTTAGTCCTTGAATAGAGTTTTGGGTTTTTAACCACAATGTGGCATTGACAGCTAATGGGGAGAACAAAAGGGGAGAGGTCACCTTTTGATTCCGTCCTGGGTCCGATATTGAACAGACTTTATCTAAACACATTTGCAATCCAAATATATCTGTAGTCCTTGCAGTAATTTTCCATTCTCTTTTCTTTACAGTATGCTCTTTTGGCTGTAATGGGCGCATATGTGTTACTAAAACGTGAATCCTAAAGTGAGAAGCAGTTCCTGGGATGAAGATTGAAATGAATTCTATTGAAAAAGAGAAAAACTAATATATTTGAAATGTTCCACTTTCTGTATACAAGGGAAATAATGCAGAGACGTTTGCGTCTTGTCCAAATAAATGATTCATCAGTGAAGATTGTTTTCTTCTGTGGGCTCTGATTTGAATCTGCTCAGTGTACCTGCCCCTTGTGGCAGTTATTCTGATCTGAAGGTGGGGGCTGTGCCGCTCCAGGAATCAGGCGGCCACTTCTAGGCCTGAGAAGGGCAGTACATGGCCTACGTAACATCGTTGTCACGTCCGAGTTTCAAAAATGAAAGTCTTTGCATTTCAGGGGGAAATGAGCAGGCCCTTGAAAACAGATGGCTCCATTTTTAAAAAAATATATTTTATTGATTTTGTACAGAGAGGAAGGGAGAGAGATAGAGAGTTAGAAACATCGATGAGAGAGAGTCATCGATCAGCTGCCTCCTGCACACCCCCCACTGGGGATATGCCCGCAACCAAGGTACATGCCCCTGACCGGAATCGAACCCGGGACCCTTCAGTCCCCAAGCCGACGCTCTATCCATTGAGCCAAACCGGTCTCGGCAGATGGCTCCATTTTTATTAAAATGGAATCTGATCATTCAGAAAGCCTGTAACTGTTGTTAGAAAGAAAGGTATAATCTGCTTTGTTTTGTGATCTGATTTGTCTTGAGGTGGTTAGATCACTTATTTGAAAGTGTTTAATAAACACAGTGCACACTTCTTTGACAAATTGCAAAAAGCACAGAAGTGTAAAAGGGCCTGTCCCGTTCCTCACATTCTCAGGTGTCTCCACATTTAATTTATTGCATCGTATATAGTCCTTCATTAAATAGTTATCAGGCACTTCTATCACAGATACCGTCCTCAGTGATGGGGATTCAAAGTCCCAGGCTGGATGGAGTTTGCAGACAAGTGGGAGGAAAAGAAATTGACACTCGATTTCAGGGGTACACTTGCGATGAGGAAAGATAAAGTGGGGTAAGCAGATAGAGGGTGAAAGACACACTGCTTTTCATAGGAGGTCAGGGAAGGCCTCTGAGTGAGGGGCATTGAGCAGAGTTAAGAGAAATGAGAAGGAAGGAGGCATGTAAATGTGGGGGGAGAGGGTTGCAGCAAATGTGAGGCCTCACAAGGGTATGTTCTCCAGCTTCGGTGAGCACAGAGCCCGCCTGCTGTTGGCTGCAGGTCTGACTCAGGAGGTGGATGAGATCTGAGGTTCTGCACTCCCCGCGCATGCCCAGGGGATGCCGATGCTGCGTGCCTGGACCGCTGTCCATAGCAAAGTGTCAGAGGAACACAAAGGAGGCCAGCGATGGTTTCAAACACACTCACAGGTTGTACAAAAATGGTCTCTTCACCGGACAGCGTGATGGTGACATGCTTTCCGACAGAACTTAGGAATCTGCCTTGATCTTTGAGGTCTGTCCAGTCCTGATCTGAGAGCTTAGAATCCCCCAAACTTACTACCCACCTACAGGCCTGGAGCAAGTTACTTAACTGCCCTCAACCTTCTGTGGAGGATAGAAGGACACGTCTCTCCCTGGTTGTCCTAAGTAGTAAGTAGATCATCCGTTGAATGCTCTGAGCTTGCGCTCCATAAACATTACCCACTGTTGGGTGTTTTGGTTTTCCTGGGCCATGACTTCTGAGGGAACCCCTGATTTGGTTAAGGGCCAGCAGGAGTGATCTGAGGGGGGCGGCTTGCCAGTCCATCCTTTTTCTCTACTCAAATAGGCTATTGCAACCATACTGCCCTCATCCTGTTGAGATCAGCAAAGTGAAAGAAAAAAAAAATGATAAGCTACTTTCTAAAAACATTATCCTCTTGCGCCCTTTAATAAACTCTTAAAAAAACACACACAAAAAAAAACAGACTTTTCTTCCCTTAACTTAAAAAGGAATATAAACATATTGGGTCACAACTTTATCCTGTCTTCTTCCTGGGTTCTACAGTTGGTTAAGATAACCTACCAAGAAGCTTTTACGGTGGAGAAACTTTCTGGTAATTCTTTGAACATGCCTATCATTCTGAAACAATCTTTACAAAGATACCTAAGAGCCCTGACGTGTTTCACTCAGCTGGTGCCATTCAATTGTGGCTGCTTATTTCTCTTGATTTTTGTCTTCCACTGAGCAGTTTTGAATTTTAATGAATTCTAGCTTATCAATTATTTCTTTCATGAATTATGCCTTTGGTGTTTATCTGAAAAGATATTGCTGTTTCCAAGGTCATCTAGATTTTTCTCCTGTGGTATTTTCTAGAACTTTTATAGCTTTGTATTTTACATTTAGGTCTGTCTGTCATCCATTTTGAGTTCATTTTTATAGAGGGTAAAAGGCCTATGTCTAGATTTATGTTTTTGCATGTGGCTGTTCAGTTGTCTTAATACTATTTGTTTTGAAAAGGCTGCTTTTGTTCCATTATGTTTGCCTTTGCTCAACTTTTCAAAGATGAGTTGATTGTATTTATGGGGGACTATTTCTTCGCTTCCTCTTCCATTGTATTGATCCATTTGTTTGTTCTTTCACCAATACCACAGGCCTTGATTACTGTAGCTTTATAGCAAGTCTTGAAAGCAGGAGTGTCAGCCCTCAACTTTGTTCTTCAATATTATCTTGGTTATTCTAAGTCTTTTTTTCTCTCCATATAAAAGTTAGAATCATTTTGTCAATATCCACACTATGGGATTTTTACTAGATATTCATATTTGGGAAAAACATACAATCTTCCATTGCCACATTTCTTTGTAAGTTGTATTCCTCAAGCCCACCTAGGAGGAAGAATTCTCGCCTTCTTTAAAATCTCAAGGTGATTTGTGCATTGGTATAGAAACATCTGAGCCGCCTCCACCCCCTTTCCACCCCCCGAGGTTCACTGGGAGCTGCTTCTGTTATTTTTCTGTTTTGCGCTGACATGCTTGATATCCTCCACAGCATCCGGTTTGTCTGTTGTGCTTAGATATACAGTCCCCCGCCGTCCTGGCTGTCAATTTCAAGAGCTCTTGATTAGATCAGTGGATTTAAAGGCAGAGAGATTGACTTTGACTTCTCACTAAGGGAAAATCAGATCCTAACAGAATCAGGCTGTCATTTAGAGCCCCTGCCAGGGAGCGCAGAGAACAGTGGGATCTTGCCAGTGGATTCAAGATCCAAAGGGGCCTGCTGATTCTCAAGTTTAACAAATCGTCCTTGTGATGGGACAGTTTGATCTCTGCAAGCGCGACGCTTTGGCCCAAGGTCCTGCTTCATGCATGGCCACAGGCCACATGCCTCGCCAACTCAACATGGGGCCCAAGGTGGAAAACAGCATTGCAAGATCCTTTTCACTTGCTGGACTTGGACTTTTTTTTATGCTTCTGTCTTTTAATGGCGAAGTGAATCCACCGCTGTGAAACATTTTAAAACAGAGCCAAGAGCCCCATAAAAGAGCTTCCTTACATGTACAGGGAAAGTTCCAGTGTTTAAAGCGCTTGCTTGTTAGGTGCCCTCCTGCCACGGGGAGCGAGGGGGCTGCCAAGTTCGAAGTCATCATGAGACACATTGGCTGTTGAAAAACTGCGTGGAATAAGGTGGCTCTCCTTGAGAATGTTCTCCTCTGGGGCCTGGAAACTGCGCCGTCAATAAGCCGGCAGCTGCTCCCTTCTCCGGACCACAGGCTCGCACTGCCCGCCGGCTGGCGTGTGACATCCTCGTTCCCTCTATTTTGTCCAGTTTTCTAGTTGCTTCAAGCAGGAAGATAAATTTTGTCCCACTTGGACTAGAAGTAGATATTATTTTTTCAATCCTACTTTTATTGCCACAATATTTTTTAACTTGTCGGGTGTTAGGCGACATATCTGTCCAAGTCTACATTGCACATAACAGAACCTGATTCTCCTTCCGCCAGAAAAGCAGTTCTCTGGAAAATATTGCTTGGTAGCTCATGAAATTCCTATGAGAGCTGGACAGCCAGGCTCAGAGAGTGGAGGAACAAAGGGAGGTTAAATTTCCAGAACCTAAAAAAAAAAGAAAAGAAAAGTCTTCCAGAGAACAGACCTACGTTTACGGGGTCCACCACCAAGGCTCAGGGACCCTGTGCTCTCGCCTGTAACTGAGACCCTGGACGGAGGGCACAGTGAGGATGTCTCTGGGCACTGGTATGGCTGTCTCTGCTTCTCCAGAGGCAAACTGTGCAGATGGGTTTCACGTACTTGACTGAGCCTAGGCCACAGTGTGTGCCCTGCTGAAAGGGAGGTCAGGAAAGAAATGTCTCCCATTTTCAGCTTCTGTGGTTGGGAGGAGGGCTCTACTCCTCTAACACTCATAGGGTAGAGTCATAGGAAACACAGACACGTAGGTCCTGACACACACACACACACACACACACACACACACACACACGCACACACACTCACACACATTCGCCCACACACATGCACGTAAGTGGTTTTGGATAGATTGCCTAGTTTAAAATTTCAGTCCAAAAAAAATTCAAAGTAATGAATTTGTATCATTCAGGCAACTGACAGGAACTTCCAAGTGAGACTCCCAGTGGGGACTCTGGCAGGTAAGAGGGAAATAGTGATTGAAGAGGAAATTTGAAAAACAAATTGCCAAAGATAAAAAGAGAAGTCACAAACTGTGTGGCGGTGGATCACGACAGTCCCTGAGGACTGAGATGGATTTGCCAGCCGAACGCCTGCTGCAAGCCCGGGACCTACACTCTTCAAGCCCACATTTCTCCCTCCCGCCAGCCTTGGCCAAGGGGAAGTTAGCGAGGGAAAGGCCAGCGTAGGAAGGAAACAGGCGGAGCAGGCCCTGCCTGTGTTTTCGAACGTAATTTCCTATGATTAATATCTCAGTTCCCCATCATCATTGGTTTTTGGCCCTGGACATCCGTTAGAGTCACCTGGGCTCTGTGAGCATCAGGGTTCCTGGGCTCCATCCTCACCATCGGAAAGAATCTATAGGTGAGACT